TTGGTCAGAGTACTTCCATTCCACATGATGTTGATGGGGTCATTTCTGTGTCTGTGTTCTGCTAGAAATTTGACTGGAATATCCAAGATAGTGTCACTCAATTTTCCTTGTTTCTAGAATAAATATAATGTTTAATCATTTTAAATTGAAAATATAATAGCAGAAACAAGATAAAGATGCCCAATTGCATGATTTTCATTCAACATATTATTAGAGGTTTTAGCCAATACAATAAAGCAAGAAAAAGAAATAAAAGTTATAAGATTTGAAAGGAAGGAAAAACATTAGAATTAATAAGTGAATTTAGCAAGGGTGCTATGTTCCAAACCAACATACAAAAGTAAGTTATATTTTTGTATTCATACTGAAAACAAATAATTATAAAATAAAAATCTTATAATTTAAAATAATTTAAAATATTAAATCACCTAGAATTAATCTAACAAAGACATAAGCAATCTTTATGCTTAAAACTATAGAACATTAAGATAAATTAGAGACACCAAAATAAATGGAAAGACATTCTATCTTCATAGATTAGATGAGTAAACCCTTTATATGCTGGTATTAGTTTCCTAGTATTTTAATAATACTTTAATCCCTGTCTCTCTTGTCACATGGTGTTCTTCTATGTGTCCATCTCTATGTCTCTTTTCTTATGAGGATGTTAGTCAAACTGGATGTAGGGCCTGTCTTACTCCAGTATGGCCTTGCCTTTACTAATTACATCTGCAATAACCCTATTTCTAAATAAGGTCACATTTTAAGAGTTAGGACTTCAACATATCTTTTGGGGAAGACAAAATCCTACACACTAAGTAACAAATACTTATTTTACAAAATAAGTATACAGCTTCAGTATAATACTGAATACAAACACAGCTAATTTTAAAATTTACAATTTTTCTTATAATTGATCTGTTTCTAAAATTTATACAAATATGCAAAGGAGCAAGGAAAGGCTAGACAATCTTTTTTTAAAAAACATTTTTTTAGGGCTGGGGTTTTGACTCAGTGGTAGAGTGCTTGCCTAGCATGTCTGAGGCACTGGATTCGATTCTCAGCACCACATAAAAATAAATTCAATAAAGGTATTGTGTCCATCTACAACTAAAAATTTAAAAATTACATTTTTTAGTTGTAAATGGACACAATACCTTTATTTTATTTAATTACTTTTATGTGGTGCTGAGGATCGAACCCAGTGCCTCACATGTGCTAGGCCAGCTATCCACCACTGAGCTACAACCCCAGCCCCACAAACACAATTGAAGAACATAATGGGAAGGAGAATTTTTTTCTATCAGATATCAAGATTTATTATAGATCTGTAACAGAAATTAAGACAGTGTGGTATTTCCATAAGGAGAGACAAAGGAAAAAACTGCATGGTTCTGAAACAAACATATGCATATATAGACAAGATATATGACGAAGGTGACAGTGCAGAGAAATAAAGGACAGCCTCTTAAAAAATAGGGTTTTGTCAATTTAATATTCACATAGAAAAAAAGACACCCGATTTACCACATACTATATGCAAAACCCAACTTCAGAAGGATAATAGCTCTAAAGGGGAATGACAAAGTAATAAAACTTTCAGAGATTTCCAACCTATGGTAGAAAAATATTTCTTTTTTTTTAAAGAGAGAGTGAGAGAGGAGGGAGAGAGAGAGAGAGAGAGAGAGAGAGAGAGAGAGAGAG